CCAAAATTAACAAATGGGTTCTAATTAAACTAAAGAGCTTCTGCACAGCAAAAGAAACTACCATCAGAGTGAACAGGCAACCTACAGAATGGGAGAAAATGTTTGCAATCTACCCATCTGACAAAGGGCTAATATCCAGAATCTACAAAGAACTTAAATTTACAAGAAAAAATCAAACAACCCCAAAAAGTCAGCAAAGAATAGGAACAGACACTTCTCAAAAGAAGACATTTATGCAGCCAACAGACACATGAAAAAATGCTCATCATCACTCGCCATCAGAGAAATGCAAATCAAAACCACAATGAGATACCATCTCACAGCAGTTGGAATGGCTATCATGAAAAAGTCAGGAAACAACAGGTGTTGGAGAGGATGTGGAGAAATAGGAACACTTTTACATTGTTGGTGGGACTGTAAACTAGTTCAATCATTGTGGAAAACAGTGTGGTGATTCCTCAAGGATCTAGAACTAGAAATAGCATTTGACCCAGCCATCTCATTACTGGGTATATGCCAAAAGGATTATAAATCATGCTGCCATAAAGACACATGCACACATATGTTTATTGCGGCACTATTCACAATAGCAATGACTTGGAACCAACCCAAATGTCCATAAATGACAGCTGGATTAAGAAAATGTGGCACTAAATGCCCACAAGAGAAATCAGGTAAGATCTAAAACTGACACCCTAACATCACAATTAGGGTGGAATATTATGCAGCCATAAAAAAGGATGAGGGCATGTCCTTTGTAGGGACATGGATGAAGCTGGAAACCACCATTCTGAGCAAACTATCGCAAGGACAGAAAACCAAACACTGCATGTTCTCACTCATAGGTCGGAATTGAACAATGAGAACACTTGGACACAGGATGGGGAACATCACACACTGGGGCCTGTTGTGGGGTGGGGGTAGGAGGGGAGCAATAGCATTAGGAGATATTCCTAACGTAAATGACGAGTTAATGGGTGCAGCACGCCAACATGGCACATGTATATATATGTAACAAATCTGTATTTTGTGCACATGTACCCTGGAACTTAAAGTATATTAAAGAGAGAGAGAGAGAGAATGTGACCCATCACCTTCGTGTCTTAGCTATAAAGAGGGAATAATATTTCTTCTGCCACACTCTATCTTTGTAAAAGGAAGTACATGAGATGATTCACATAGAATTCCTTTAAACAAAAAATACTATTCAAATAAAAAGATTTTTTAAATCATTTTCATAATTGTCTTGATTCTTCAAATAAATCACTTTTAGATAAACAACATTAGCCAGACATAAGACTCTTCTTACTATATCTTCTAAGTGAACAATTTGTGCAGATGTATATGATTTGTGAAGGCAAGAGGAAAAAGTATTAATCTGTATATGTAGCATCATCTTTAATATTCAAAAATACATGCAAAGACAGAAATCTAGGAAAAATGAAGTAAAATATTACCAATATTTGTCTTTGGGTAATAAAATCATGGGTGACTTTTAAGTATAGATTTTGTATTTTCTAGTTTTATATGATGATCATGCATTACTTTTTAAATCAGAAAATGCTCCAGCGGTAGTCAATATCAAGATATTGTTTGGAACATGTATATTTGCTAAGATTTCACCAAATTTTAAATGACTAATTTTAAATAGTCCTATGCAGTTCATTAGGGGCAGTTCTTATGTGAGTGAGTCCACCGGGGTAGATGGGACCATCCAAAGCCATTTCTGCACTGACATTTTGATATTAAAGATTCCTTGTTCACTTAAAGATGTTAAGATTTGGGCTTCAGTTATTCATGCAAGTCTTTAACTCTTACTATCTTTTCACAAGGAAATATTGTTGCCACCTGCTGGCAGTCACGTATTAGTGGAATGGTTTTCTATTCCCGTGAAGTAAAATCCAACTTTCATGAAAATACAGAAACTGCACCAATCATCATAATAATGGCTAAGTTTGTTGGGTTCGTTGATTTTTTTTTCTGGTTAGGCCATGTATTATATCATTTTATTTCTCACAATATCCGTAAGTATGAACTCATTTTATGCAGAAGCACAATCAAGGCAGAGGAGTCACACTATTTCCCCAAGGCCCCACAGTTAGTGAACAACAGAGTTGAGATACAAATCCAGATAATGGCAACTTCTCTGCTGTGGCAGCTTGTGAAAAACAACTGTAGTAAACCTGGAGTGTGAAAGCCCTATTGATCAAAGTATTTACTGAGGATGCATAGGGAAAAAAACAATGATTGCAATGAAATGCAACTCAGACGACCTGAGATTTAGTCACCCCTCCATACTGTATTGGCTCCATTGAGACCCTAAATTGATCATCCCAAAGGGAGCCTTTCCCTTCTCAGTCCCTCACAGGGCTTTTGTGAAGATCAAATGAGACAATGAGTCTGAAAGCCCTTTGTAATTTGTTTCCTGGTTTCCAAAGATTATCTCTGAATTAAATACGATCATTAGAAATGTAAAAACCTGAACTTTATTATCTTTTTTCCTCCCTGTAGATATGTCATCTTTATGTTATGACTTAAGTCTTGCCTTTGGTTTGGCAGAATATAAATACACAAAAGCCCACTTAAATGTACTTTTTGCATCTTTAATAGTACAATATAAGGCTAGGCACGGTGGCTCATGTCTGTAATTCCAGCACTTTGGGTGGCTGAGGCAAGTGGATCACCTGAGGTCAGGAGTTCAAGACCAGCCTGGGCAACATGGTGAAATCCCGTCTCTATTAAAATACAAAAAGTAGCCAGGTGTGGTGGTGGGCACCTGTAGTCCCAGTTATTTGGGAGGCTGAGGCATGAGAATCGCTTGCGCCTGGGAAGTGGAGACTGCAGTTAGCCAAGCTTGTACCAATGCACTCCAGCCTGGGCAAGGTGATAGAGCAAGACTCTGTCTCAAAAAAAAAAAAAAAAAAAGTTAAATTAAAAAAAATTATAAAGTTTTTTTTTCACTGCATTGCCCAATGTCCATTATTGAGAGTCTAATTTGATATACTACTCAAATTCCAGGAAAACATTATTTCCACAGGAGAATATACTCTGTCTCTGCAAGTAGGAAATAAAAACATAAGGCTCTCTTTGTATTTGGCTGTCAGGAAATTAAATTTTGTGTCCAATGGAGCCCATCTCTGCAGTCGGGAGCATCCACTTCCCTGGCTCTCAGTGATCCTTTCCTTCATAGGCTCTACTCACCCTTCTTTGCAAGTGTAAGTGACGGTGTTCTTGAAAGTGAAGTTACTCCCCGTAATGACAGCATCTTTGATGGCAGGCGGCTCTCCACAGAAGACGAGGTGACAGGCAGGTGGCGCTCTGTCCCAGATGCCAGAAGCCATGCATTCAATAATGGAAGGGCCCTGTAAGCTACAGGAAAGAATGATGTTACTCTTTCATTGGCTATGGATTTGCTGCTATAGAGATAAAACAGGAAGAACTCAGAGTAAGGGACATTTGAGGAATTTGAGTACACAAAAATAGCATTTCTTCATATTAGATTGCTTTATATGAAAGCAAGAGAAATCTAAACAAGTTATATACCATTTGAAACAATGAATGGGTGAAAACAATGTAACAACAATAATCACTTGGTGCATAGTAAAATATTGAATCTGCTTATGGGCAGTTGTGTAAGGCACTCCAGACCTGTGAAGAGCAGACTACTTGGATGAGAAGGGGTTCATTACACTGGTTAGAATCCAGCAGGAAGAAAGCCACTCACCTAAGTAGCCAGGAAATCAGGGCAACTAAGGTCAAAGGGAACTGTCCAGGCCATGAGCCTGGGCATTTGAACCATGCTGCCCCTGACTCTGACCTCTGGTCTTCCTTTGACTGAAACCTCACATCCCTATGCCATGGCTTATCTGCCTTTCTTTTCAACCTGATTCTGATAGCACGCTTTAATTCACTCCACTTTCTGTTCAGTCGATCTGTTCCACTTCAGATCCTGTTGATCATGTTTCTGATCACAGCCTTTCCCCATTGTCCCTTCTGTTTAAAAACACACACACACACACACACACACACACACCCACCCACACACACACCTCCTGCAGTATTAAGAACCTAGCCCCTTATCTTGACATGCTTTTTCGTAACATTCCATGCAATGTTGAGTATAAGCTTGGTAAGCTGTTTATAAAGAAATCCATCACAAAAGCATTTATTTGGTATTTTGTTTATGTTTCACAAAAAATTTTTGCTTTCATGTTTTCAAGTCTGAATGCTTATAGCAATTGAACTAGGACTCCCAGAGTCATAGTTAGATTGAATATTTCCTTGGGCATTTACCATTAGCTAGGTAGGCCTCAGGAAGCATACAGATTTGAGAACATCCTCATATTTATAGATTTGTTTTTAGAGTCAGCCAGTCACATATAAATGAAACCTATTGAGTAAAGAATACAGGCACGGTGGCTCACACCTGTAAGCACTTTGGGAGGCTGAGGCAGGTGGACTGCTTGAGCTCAAGAGTTCAAGACTAGTCTGGGCAACATGGTGAAACCCCCATCTCTACAAAATACAAAAATTAGCTGAGCACAGTGATGCACACCTGTAGTCTGTGCACTTGGGAGGCTGAAGTGGGAGGAACCCTTGAGCCTGGGAGGTGGAGATTGCAGTGAGCTGAGATTGTGCCCCTGCACTCTAGCCTGAGTGACACAGTGAGACCATGTATCAAAAAAATTAAAATAGGGAGCAAGTAATACAGTATTGTAGAAAGCTTGGTTGGTGTCTACAAACATTACCTGTATCCTGTATCGCATGAATATGATGCAGTAGAAAGGTAGGTGAGCCCACTCAAAACATATTTTCCATTATTTATGTTTTCTGGACTAGAACACTTCACTGGTTCACACACAGGAGAGGAATGACTCCAAGAACCGTTAGCAAGACAGGATGATTCCTTATCACCAGCCAGAGTATATCCTTTATTACACCTAAAGAAGATAGAGGAAAATTACAGGATATAATTTGCTTTATTTTGCATACTTTTATCTGTGCCAGAAACCTCTAAAAATATTAAGAATTTATACATATTGGAAAAGTTGATTTTTTTCCTACTGAAATAATGCTTTTAAATTAATTTTTTTTTCAAGATTGAATACTGTATATCTTCCCCACAGGGAAGTAGGATAGATTTAAGAATTTGACTTGCCTTCAGTTTGTATCATGGGTTAGTAACTACAAACAGGGAATCCTTGCCTTGAGAGTGGTGTGGTCTAGTCTGTTTCTGAGACATCAAGAGTATTCATTAGCTAAGAGCATCCACTCTCAGCGTGCCTCAGCGGGGCGCTGGAGGTAATGATAGGTTATTGGTCAGGTTATTTAAGGATTCTAGCTATAACTACCATTAAATTATTGGATAAGATTTGTTCACATTACATATCATTCAATTAATTACATATTAATTCAAAAATGTCCTCTGGAATTATTTTCCCACTCCCTTTCTCTCAGTGTTATATCACTACCAGCATGCCATCAACATCTTCTATAATACAGTTTTAATATTGGACACTTACCTATATGTCACTTTGCTGCCAAAGGTAAATGCTAACTCCTCAATGCAACCATTTTCCGGAATAGCCGGTTTACCACAGGAAACAGCTTAATGAAGGAAAAACAAACATGTGACTTTTTTGAGACTGTTTGTGCAAAAATCTCTGAAATCTCAAGGGGCAGTTCAAGATCTTTTTTTTGTTTGTTTTCTTTTTTTTTGGAATGTGTGTGGGGTCATGTTTAAACATGAGCCTAATACTTCAGTTCAAATACAAAGAACATTGATATAACACTTTATATGTCTACACCTTACCTTTCTATGATTGCCAAAGATAATAAACATGGTAACATTACTAAACATACCTTTACAATATGGTATTAGATGATTCCATTCTCCAGACTCCAAACATGTGATTTTGGTTACTCCCATCAACTGGTATCCTTCCTGACACGAAAATGTGACTTCGGCACCTACTGTATAAATGTCACCTGAGGAGTAGCCATTTTCTGGATTTCCTGGAGCCTTACATTTTATAGGTTCTAGAAACAAACAGTTTTGGTGGAACAATAAGTGGCTTTCACACAACCATGCAAAGTCTCACAGTAAAAGAATTCCACTATAGTTAAGAGACCTGTTAAAATCACAAGAGAAAACCTCGTGAAGGGAAATGCATGAGGGCCCAGAGACACATTGGACATTAGACCAGAACATACATTTAATAAGCATTGAAGCAACAATAATTTGAAACAGCAATGCCTAACAACAATATACATAATTTTTCTGGCCCCAAAAGGTAGGCTCTCATTGGGAAAGTAGCGGTGGTGCTAGGGCGTGGCTTAGAAGGGCATTAGCCTCTTTCATCTGTTCCCTCTTCATACCGTTTTTCAGAGCAATTGACTTGGTGTCAGGTTGATGGAAAGGCTGAATAAAGCAGAATTAGGAATGTTTCCAGCTTCCCTTCCCAAATAGTGTGGGCTCTGGGCTCTCCCTATCTACAGATTCAGGGTCAGTCACCACTGCTATAATAGGAAGGAGAAAAGGCTAAAGCAAGGTTTGGGCCAGTGTTGAGCAAGAAAAGTGAATATAATACTTGATTTCTCAAAAAGGGAAGATATATTGCATCAATCTTTTCAAAGGCCATTTGGGCTACATAAGTCAAGGAGTTTAAATAAATTCTTAAAGTAAATGCAATTATGAGCTGATTTTGAGGAAAACAGCCAGAGGTAAGCACAAAGATGTATGTCCAAAGATGCTTATTAAACTGTTTTCCATAGTGAATATCACCTAATATTAACATACAGAGAAAAGTTACTTATGGAAAATCCATAAAGCGAATTATAAAACAGGAATTAAAATCCTGCTCTCAAACTATTTTGTGACATCAAAAAATTTGCCAGATATAATATTACATGAAATAACTAAAATAAAGAACTGTTTATATGGTGTGTTTATATAGACATCTTATTGTTTTCTGGGAGTTACTCCTCACAGCAAAAGAAGAAATACAACAATGGGTTGAGAGATGATCTAGTATTATCAACGCTATTTCAAAATATTGTAATGCAAGATGTCTTGGGGAGGCAAGATATCTATTTTTTTTCAATGATACAATTTTGTGTGACCGAGGCAGAGGAAAGATATTGATAGTGAAGACGTGATAAAGCATCTTCCTTGCTCTGATTGAGGCAGAGAGGTCACTGATTATATTTCTATATCAACTCTATTATTCTTGTACTATGTAGACATTTCAACATTCTAGCAGCATAGTCGGCTATCAGTTTTGTTTCTCAGAAATTGGGAATTTGGGGGAGGCACAATGCTACTTTAAAGCACTTTTAGTTGTTACTGATGTGTCTTTTATAAGATCTTTATCTTGTCTGCCTACCTGTATGCCCTTCGAAGTTGAAACTATTATCTTACTTAGAAATAACATACACTTAAAACATGTGCTTGAATAAAAGACTGGAATGAGGAACTTCTAGTTCTACATATATTAGTTACCTGCACAGTTTTTCCCATCTCCTGTGTACGGTGGAATACATGAACATACGTAGGATCCATCTATATTCAGGCAAGAAGCATGCTCACTACAATCTGATCCAACTGCACACTCATCGACATCTAAAATGAAGACAGCTTATAAATTTTAAAGCTGATTCCTTTTCCTTATGTATCGAACATCTGTTTTTACTTTTAAATCATTACGTATCACGTAATGCACACTTCATATATTTGTATAGAATTTAAATATAACAGTTATAATCACATTGCAGATATACAATAAAAGCTATTATTTCCCTAGTTTATAGGTGGGCAAGTATAAGACAGGGATATATAAATATAGTTTTAATATGGAGCCTGATAAAAATTTAAAACATTTCTGGCACCTCTACATACAGCTGCTTTGTCACCATGGCTTGGCCACAGCTTACTGGGATGAGATAAAATTAACAAAGCAATGCCTCAAGAACCTCAGGAATTTGGGATGATTGTCATCTACAGAGCTAGAATAATCTCGTATAGTAGTTGCCAACATTTATCTCACCAAGGCAGGATGGTGAAACGCCGTTCCAGCTCCCATTATCTGTACAGAACATCCTTGAATCACCCAATAGATAGTAGCCATTGTTGCACTGGTAGGTTACTGTGCTGCCAGCATAAAAGTCATCAGCTGAATGGAAGCCATTCTCCAAAGGAGGTGGCACCCCACAGCTAATGCCTGTAAGGTGACCAGGAAGAAGACAACGACATTAAAAGCAAAATACTCAAAGAACACTTTATATTAAACTAGCAGTTCTGTTAAGCATGACATTTTTACTGCATGCAAACATCAGACTGAGTGCGTCCTAGGGATAGCAGCAGCCTGAACCCTCAGCATCTAGCACACTGCCTGGCTCATAGTAGGCATGCAATTCATTTATTCAAAAAACATTTACCCACTAGACGCTGATAAAGTTTGGATATTTGTCCCTGCCCAAATCTCATGTTGAAATGTGATCCCCAATGTTGGAATCGGGGTCTTGTGGGAGGTGTTTGGGTCATAGGGGCAGATCCCTCATGGCTTGGTGCTGTCCTTGCAATAGTGAGTGAGTTCTCACGAGATCTGGTTAAGTGTGTGGCAACTCTTCCTCCACTGTCTCTCTTGCTCCTGCTCCTGTCATGTGATGTGCCTACTCTTGATGCCTTCTGCCATGAGGAAAAGCTCCGTGAGGCCTCCCCAGAAGCTGAGCAGATGCCAGCACCATGCTTCCTGTACAGCCAACAGGACTGTGAGCCAATTAAATCTCCTTTCTTTATATATTACCTAGTCTTAGGTGTTTCTTTATAGCAATGCAAAATGGCCTAACACATAGACACTGTTCTAGGTGCTGTAGTTACAACAGTGAGCCAAACAAACAAAATCCCTGCCTTATGGAGCTTTTTATCTAGTGGGGTAGATAGGCAAAACAAATAAGCAAAGAAACAAAACAGGTGAATATATCAGGTGATAACAGGTGCTTATCTAAAATAGCAGTCTAGCTTCCACCCAACCCTCATTTTTGTATTACTTTTTTTTAAGACAGGGTCTAGCTCTGTCACCTACACTGGAGAGCGGTGGTGCAATCTCGATTCACTGCAACCTCTGCCTCCTGGGCTTGGTGATCCTCCCACTTCAGCCTACTGAGTAGCTGGAATTATCAGCACATATCACAATGCCTGGCTAATTTTTGTATCTTTTGCAGAGATAGGGTTTCATCATGTGCCCAGGCTGGTCTTGAACTCCTGGGCTCAAGCAATCCACCCGCCTCGGCCTCCCAAAGTGCTGGGATTATAGGTGTGAGCCACCACGCCTGGCCACACTGTATTTTCCTGGCCTCTTCTGTCTTTCTTCACAGCTCTTACTTCTAGCCCTTACCTTTATTATTTACTATAAATACATATTATATTTACTTATTTATTTTCCTGTTAGAATCCTAAACTATTAGAATCTAAACTACATAAGAATAGGGGCTTTTTCCCCCCAACTGCTGCATCTTGAGGACCTAGATCAGTGCCTAGCACATAATAGGTACTTTAAAAGTTGCTGAATAAATGAATGAATGAATGCACTCGACTGAAGACGTCTCTCCCTGTTTTCCCCTCCAGCAATGACCCATCTATCTCTGGGCCTCCACCTATAGGGTGTGTCTTTCCATCACTTTCAGTTCCTTGCATCACCTTGGATGCATCCACAAATGGTCCCTTTGGATCCTAATCACCCATCTCCTTCATGATGCCCAGCACAGTTCATTAAACAAAGAAAAGGTTCAATGAATATTTGGTATATTTGCTACTGTGAAGTATTCACCCTTTGTCTAGCATTCCTGAAAAGAGTTCCTATGTTTTCAATATTTTTCAAAAGTCACTGAAATGGCCTCAAGAAAGGCAGCTTACGTTCACAGTGAGGAAGTGGTTGTGTCCACTGTCCTTGATTCAGACAGTACTGCACAGGGTTCCCGACCAGCTGGAAGCCTGGATCACAGAACAGACTGATTTTGGAACCTGGCTTTAAATCTTCTGATGCAGTTCTCAGATGAGGCACTGACCCTCCTAAGCGTGGGCAATCTGAGGGCAAAGAACACAGGTGCAGAGCTTGTCAGCAACATAGTGGCAGCATCACCAAGTCAATGATTTCAAGCTGTATTCCGTATCAGCATTTGAGAGCCACCTTACTGATGTGAAAACAAGTTAACATATAACCAGATCACTGGCAAGCAAAATTACTTTAAAAAAAATTTGAATCAACAACTCTCCCTCTTTTAAAATATTTTAGGAATGTTAATGAAATGTTCTTGTAAGTTATCAAAAGCCATAAATTCTAGGACAGTCTAAGAAACTCATTTAAATACATTTAATTTCATGATAGTTTTGATAATTCAGTTTTAGTGTGTGGATTGCAACATCCATTGCTTTTCTCCCTGTGCTACCTGTTCCTAGATACCTTCTACAAATTATGGAACCAAAAGAGTACCCCATCTCAAACAGGTGCATAGTATGTTGGTACGCACTGAAAAAAATAACCTTATCTCTTCTCTAATCTTATTTTCCTGATTTTATTTTACTTTCATCCAAATTTCCTCCCTAATTATATCTTGTTATACAGAATATATTTTAGCATTAAAAAAAACAAATCCTTTGGATAAAAATAGGGTAAGTATGAATTACTGGTTACAAAAAGTAGATTGACAGGCACATACAATTTGACTGATAGATAATTCTGAATTGTCTCCTCTTGCTAGACAGTCCCAGGGTGGTCAAGAGATAGTGGAGACTAGGGAAGAAGGAAATTCTCACCAGAACAAAATATGCTCTTTGAATCGATCTTCACTTTCCCCATAATTCCCGACAAGAAATCGGGCCATGCTAACACGTTTCCTCTACTGAGTTCCTCTGGGCAGGAGGTAGCCAGTGACTTCACCTGAAAGTTTAATAACACTTTAGATAAGCCTTACTTGTTCCATTAAGATTGCGTTATTATATGTTATTTTAGTCCTATTGAAAACATTCACAGATTTTTTAGAGGTGGGGGTGGAGGGAAGCAGGTATGATTTCAGGGGCAGCAGGAAATTCTCTTCCATTTCCCTCTCCCCCAGCTCTATCATTCCCTCTCCCAGCTACTTCTCCCACTAGACTCATAGTTGCCTGAAATTTTGAAATCCTACACCTAGAATTCCCTATGTAAAGCCATGTGGTTTGTTAAGGGGTTGTAGAGGCTCTCTCCTTCTTCATTCTACGTCTTTGACCTCTGACATAGAAGAGAGGAAGCTGAGGCTTAAAGAAGTCAAGCCTCTGTAGTAATAAGAGCGAACATTTATAAGAAGAAGATCCTTTACTATGGATCAAATAATACCACAAATGCATATGTAGTATTTTGTTCAATCTTGTCAAAACTCTGCTATGTAGTTCTATTTATCCATCTTTTATAGATAAGAGAATTGAAACTTAGTGAGATGGAATAACATGTTCAAAATCATCACAGTGAGTTTGGTGTAAGACTGGGATTTGAACCCCAGTTGTTTGACTCTAGGCTGGTTTTAGCCACTAGGTCGTATGTTGCTCTCTATGGATGATCTTGTGCCAGCCTTAAAGTTCTGCATGTTTAGTCAGAGAGATTTGAAGCATTATTCTTTATGATTTCTCCTGCTCTCTTTGATGATATTCTTAAATTTTATTGGAAAACATTATTTTGCAAAATCTAAAATAATTCCAATAAAATTTAAGAACATCACCAAGAAACTAAAAAGGGTGTTCACTGAAAATTACTGTAACTTCTGCCTAACTTCCTCTATAACCACAGCATCAAATGATACTGGTGATAAATTCTGATACCCAAGAGCTTACAATAAGTTATGTCATCATTAGGCTGTTCACATTTTTACTAGGTTTGTACCTTTGCATCTCATTACTGTCATACACTGAAAATGGAATTGACCTGCTGTGGAGACAGGACATAGTCCCAGAGGTTGAGTTGGCTTATGGAGCCCACAAAAGACTCAGCTGGGCTGAATCCCTCTCCTTTTTTGTCTTGCTCTTGCCCCAGAACTAATGCACCACCACCTAGAGAGAAAGAGAAAGAAAAGGAGGAAAACTGGCCTGATGGTCTGTTATTCCTAAATCTAAATTTAATGAAAGCATGACTGATACAAATGAAAGAAAATTACTGAAAAGCAAAATTCTATAAATTTACTGCAGGTTTTATCAATAAGAACAAATTCAATGTTTTATATAGCAACTTAAAAATAGACAGGATTTAGAATGTTGATTTATAAACCTGTAACTACAAAAACTATATTCAATACATATATATGCATATAATATTTTATGTTGACAAATTAAGTATTATTTTGCTTACTTTCTTGTAGAAAATCACCCTCCATGGAAGTGACTGCTATTTTTCTTATTCCTTAAGCTACAAAGATATAATTTCTATCACCAAATCCAGGGAACTTTCTAAAGTTGCCAGGGGTCTCCTAATTGCCAAATTCAATAGAAATTTCAGTATTCATCTCTGTGACTTCTCTGTATCATCTGTTTTGGCTAAGCATTTCATTCTATTCAACTTGCCTTTCTGGGTGCGCCGGACAGTCTGTGTCTGCACTGGCAGACCTACCCTCCACCCTTCTCCACTCAGCTTTGTGTCCCAAAGGTTGTCCCGTGAGCTGCATCACCCGGCTTCCTTGTCTCCTGGCTTCTCTTTGTTTCTGGCCAATGAAGAGCCAGCATGAGATAAGAAAATGAGATGAGAGAGAAGTTGAATCTCCTGTATCCTCTCCTGCCAGGCAACCAGCTAGGAGTGGCTTTTCCTTCTATTTCTGAAGAGATTAGGGGATTCTCTCCAGTGCTACAGGTTCCTAAGTTCTGGCAACAATGCCTAACCCTTGTCACTTCAGGCCCATCCCCTTACACCCATCTGTTGTTGCTAGTCATATGTGTTTTACTGTCATATTTTGGTCTTCTTAACCACACTCACACCTTTGAAAACAGTCCTTCATTAAACTCACTTTAGTGACTACCTGTTTCCTGCCGGGAGCCAGACTTGAGTACACTATGCTTGATTTCTATCAGAGCATCCTCTCCTGGTTTTCTTTGAACTTTTCTGCTCATTCTCAGTCTCCCTTCTCTGCCTGCCTCTTAGAAGTGATCCCAAGATTCTACCCCATGACTTTCTTCCTTCCACTACTCTTTTTTTTATTTCAGTATTTTTTGGGGAACAGGTGGTTTTGGGTTACACAGATCACTTCTTTACTGGTGATTTCTGAGATTTTGATGCACCCATCACCTGAGCTGTGTAAACTGTACCCAACGTGTAGTCTTTTATCCCTCACCCACTTCTTACCCTTCCCTCAAGTCCCCAAAGTCAACTACTGTTTCAATTTGATCTCACTTGGTTAATCTATGTCCATTGATCCCTCCTTCATGATTTCCCAATCTACATGTTTTTAAATTGTATTAATAATTTTAAAGTTAATACATGCACAGATTAAATTATAAAGAACTCTTCTTACCTAGAAGTATTTAATAGTTTTTTGTATTTCTTTCCAGGTTTTAAATTTTGTTCTAGTATATGTATATGTATATGTATGTGTATATGTATATGTATATGTATGTGTGAGGTATTTAAAACACATAACTGGTCTCATACATATTCAGAATGTTTGAATATTGTTCAAGGTGTTGTGAGACCATCTTGAACATGTTCCCATTTCATGAGTTTTAGTAGCTATCCTATTTTTTTTTTTTTTTTTTTTTTGAGACAGAGTCTTACTCCCTTACCCAGGCTAGAGTGCAGTGGTGCGATCTCAGCTCAACACAACCTCTACCTCCCAGATTCAGGTGATTCTCATAGCTCAGCCTCCCGGATATTACAGGTATGGGATTACAGGTATGCACCACCACATCTGGCTAATTTTTGTATTTTTAGCAGAGATGGAATTTCACCCGCCCTCACCACCCATGTTGATCAGGCTGGTCTCCAACTCCTGGTCTCAAGTGATCCAGCCACCTCAGTCTCCCAAAGTACTGGGATTACAGACGTGAGCTACCACGCCTGGCCTAGCTATGCTGTTTTAACACATGAATGGCCGACAAAACATAATTTGCTTAATTAATTAATTAAACAGCCCCTTATTACTGGATGTTGGCCTTGTTTCTAAGTTTAATATTAAAATAACACTGAGATAAACATGTTTATTTATACATATTTATATATATGTTCAAATTATTGATGATTTCCATATATTTATTTCTAGTAAACTGATGGTTGCAGGCAAAGAATTTCTCTGAGGCTTTTGATGCAAGTTTCTAAATTGCTTCCCAGAAAAATTGTATCAACTTACATACTTGCCGGTGCTCTATACACAGGTTTGCTATGCTGAATCCTAGCCAATTTTATGGTGTCACTAAAAACAACTTTGCCAATTTGATATAAAGCAGTATCAGACCTATATCTTTAGCTGTATATATTTTTGTGACTAGAAATTCAACATAGACCTCAAACTCAATATGTCTAAAACCATATACATAATCTTTTCCCCCATAACCAACTCCTTTTCTTAGAATTCTTACCTTAGCCAACAGACTCTTCAATAAACTTGGTCAAACTGAAGCCAGTCATTCACTGCTATGCACTGAACTGTGTCCCCGCCAAATTCATATGTTGAAGCCCTAACTCCCACCATGGTGGTATTTAGAGATGGAGCCTTTGGGAGGTGATTGGATTTAGATGAGTTCATGAGGGTAGGGCCCACATGATGGGACTAGGGCCTGTATAAGAAGAGACACCAGAAAGTTTGCTCTCTCTCTCCCTGCCATATGAGGATACAGTGAGAAGGTGGCTGTCTACAAGCCAGGAAGGGGGCTCTCACCAGGAATGAACCATACTGGTACCCTGATCTCAGACTTCTAGCCTGTAGGACTACAAGAACATTAATTTCAGTTATTTTTATTTTTTTATTTTTGAGGTAGAGTTTCACTCTTGTTGCCCAGGCTGGAGTGCAGTGGCACGATCTCACCTCACTGCAACCTCTGCCTCCTGGGTTCAAGCAATTCTCTTGCCTCAGCCTCCCAAGTAGCTGGGGGCCCATCACCATGCCCGGCTAATTTTTTATTTTTTTATTTTTAGTAGAGATGGGGTTTCACCATGTTGGCCAAGCTGGTCTCAAACTCCTGACCTCAGGTGATCCACTTGTCTTGGACTCCTAACGTGCTGGGATTACAGGTGTGAGCCACTGCACTTGGCCAATTTCAGGTATTTAAGCCACTTTGTGTATGGTTTTTTTTTTTTTATGGTAACCTAAGTGGACTAAGACAGCCATGAAGGGTGTCAATTGGAACTCTGCAATATTTATGGATTCTCAATCATCCTGGCCATCCTTATGCCTCTGGTCAGTAAACTATTTCCTTAGGTGGTTACTGTAAGAGTTTCTTGGTTTTATTTTGCTGTTCCTTCAATCTACCTTTTACTCTTCCATCACTGTTGATATTTTAAAGATAAAAATGTTTTTTTAACCAGAAAAGAAATATACATTCATTATGAAAATATCATAAAATAAAGAAGAAAATAAAAATCACCTGTAATCGCGCCACTTAGAGAAGAGATAGTTGAAAACAAGAACACACTAAATTAAACCAACACAAAAAAACCACTGCCCCACCTCACTTGATAATGCCATTTCCTTTTGAAATACCTTAATGTCTCTTAATTCAACTGAAGGAGAAAGTGTGCATTTCTTGGGGGACATAAACAGGCTCATTACAGCCCAACACTATGTTATGTTTTAGCTTCTTCCTCTATCACGTCTTCCTTTTCTTCTCCTCTATATACACTGTGCTACTGCTTTGGGGATCAGTCAACCATTCCTCCTCACACAAAACCCATTCATGGCTCCGTGCCCTCTGCACGCAGAGCTCCTTCTGTCTGAGCTGCCTTTCCCTGTTCTTCTGACACATCCTTCAAGACACAGGCTGGTAAATTCAGCAGATGTTTATGAAGCTACCAATAATGTGCTGTCTACAATACCAGGCACTGGACTTACACTGATGAAAAAGGATTTCTTCTCCTAAGAGATAATTCTAAGGGAAAATTCATACATAAATACTTTCCAATATAGTGTGGTTAATGCAGCAGTAGAGGCATGCAGAGTGAGAGAAGAACTGAAAGAAAAAGCTCAATGAGAATGGGCTGGGCTCAGGGAAATCTTTCAGACATGGATCTTGAGGATTTAGAGTTAATCTCATGCAGAAGGAAGATACGGAGAGTTTCTAGGCAAAGGAGTGGGTAGACTGCAAGAAAGAATTCTATAGCGTGATGTGTATGGTAGACACTAAGGGTGTCCATCCACATCCCCAGAGGTTCCCTCTACCATTGTGAGTGCTACAGTTTCTAATGGTCCCACACCTACTCCATGTGTGGACATGTATCAATAGGCTAATCTAAGTGGAAAAGGCAGAAGGGGACATGAAGAGGGCACAGCCATAAATTAAAAGAGTTGGGCTCTAGGAATGCAATTTGAGAGACTGGTTTTAACTCTTCTGGAATTCTCTGTTTCTTCATTTCTAAAATAGTAGCATAACTACTCTATTAAATTCACATGATCATTGTGACAAAAACATTGAGTAAATTTTGTAAAAATATTTGGGCAATTAGGCATAAATGGTATTACAAGGAAGTTTTGGTTTTGGCACTGGCTTCCTGTTCAAGTATATTTTACAAAGAGGCAAAGGATGATAGACCACGTTTTAAATTTATCCAGAGTGATTTCATCAAAATCATCTTATTAGATATTGCCCTAGCATTATAAAATAATTACATGATTTTCAAAAGCAACCTCTATATTAATCTCCCAATACTCCCATCTTACAACAACCTCTCTAAAGTTTCTAGTTTGTCTCTGTTTCTCTTTCCTTCCCCTCCAAATTAATCTCCCCAATCAATTTCTTTATAAATCACCCTTGCTCCCTAAATTCATTAAATGTCCTAAGCCTCCTTCTCTGCCTTCTCCTCATAGCAAAATGCATGTGTCCTTGACTCTACAGCTCTGTCCTTTGGGTCTTCCATTTCTGGAACCTCAACACTCAGATGGTGCCTTACTGGCTGGATTGGCGCTTGGCAAATGCTCAGTGTGTGGATACACATCCAAGGATCTGTCTGTATGTTTCATTCATCTCTTCAGTTATTCTGTGTTTAAGGAGGAGTGGGCTTTCTCTCTTATTTTTCATTTGTCCCAAGTTTCTCTCCAAGGAGAAGCATAATAAATGCTTCTTAGATATTAACTCGGATATTAACTTTCAGTGCTGTCCCTGCACTTGGGAGTCCTTTTGTCCTCTGATTAGAGACCTCTTTGTTGTTTAGGAATTTTTGTATACACCCTATTACTTCTTTCTGCTCATGCCCAGAACCACTTAAGCTGCCCTTCCTGCCATCTCCCCCTGCCATCTTAAAATCCATCACTGACTCCCTATTGATTTTAGGGTGAAAACCTCAATCCTTAACCCACACTACATGGCTTTATGTGATTTGGCTATGTCTGCCCTCTCTACCTGATTGCCTTGCCTTCCCTCTTTCAGCCTGCATTTCAGATACATCAATCTTTTTCTAGCTCTTTCAGCAAGGCCCAGTCCCCTTCGCTAATTAGTGCCTGACCATCCTTGAGAGTTAGGGATATCTCCACAAGCCTCCATGGACTCCCCATTCTACATCAGCTCCCTGGTTACAGGCTTTCATAGAATGATGTTCCTTTCCTCCATAGTGCTTGCCTCAGTGTGAAATTACACATCATTTACTGTGATTATGTGATGAACACCTCACTCCCTGACCACAATAAAAGCTTCTGGAGAGCAGGGACCACATAACTTTTGCTCATCATTGGGTTTCCGGTGCCTTGCATAGGTGCCTGGCCCTCCTAGTGAGTGCTTAGGACGTATTCTTTAAATTCACAAGTAGATCAATTTTGGTTTGATCCACATGGATCTTCGTAGTATTAAAAGTGAAACAATGTATGGACAATTTTTTTTTTTCTTTTTTTTGAGACAGAGTCTCTCTCTGTCGCCCAGGCTGGAGTGCAGTGGTGTGATCTTGGCTCACTGCAACCTTTACCTCCTGGGTTTTCAAGCAATTCTCCCGCCTCAGCCTCCCAAGTAGCTGGGATTACAGGCACCTGTCACCACACCTGAATAATTTTTTTTGCGTGTTTTTAGCAGAGATAGGGTTTCACCATATTGGCCAGGGTGGTCTCAAACTCCTGACCTCGTGATCCACCCGCTTCAGCCTCCCAAAGTGCTGGGATTACAGGCCTGAGCCACTGCACCCGGCCAATAATTTCTAATAAATAAAATAAGTATTGTATTTGAGGCTTTGCAAAGGCATCTCATCACATTTTTATGAAGTTTAGTATTTTTGTGCTATATTTATTAGTATACTTATCCTAGTTTCATACAACTCACTTCTAGAATATATTAGTCAGTTTCTAATACTTTCATTTTTGTCTATTTAATTTTCTGTTACCTAGGCACCATTTTGTGTACCTGAAACAAATGAGCAAAGTAAAAAGTAATGTCATATGCATGTATTTCTATAGATGGAACAAGCTTATTGCCATGTACAATGCTGAGAACCTGGGTCACCTAATGAAATTTAGTTTGCAATTCTTCAAATTAAAACTCCTGGGATATTTATTAAAAAGTATTTTTTAGAAGACAGGTCAAGATCTATTTGAAAAGGGCCATAAAAGATGGATAGCCGTGGTCTTGCTTATATACTGATTACAAAACAAAACAAAACAAAACAATCCTTAAACAAAAAATACCAGTAATTAATCTCCTTGGAAGACAGTTTAGCAACCAGCTGTTAGTTCAGCATGCTTCTTGGTAGTCTTAATGTAGATCTTCAAAGGCATTTCTCACACAGAGAGGCAAACAGCTTACCTAGGAAAAAAGCTTCTAATAACCCACAGTTAGGATAATCAGGGAGTAGGAAATGAGAGAGAGAGAGCCGTTAATCTTTGTTTGAAACCAAGGACAAAAATGCTAGCAAACCTGATGTCCATTTAAGGAGCATCACCTCTACAGTTCAACAGAATTATACTCATTTTGTTAAAACATACCAGGTATGGGCAAACCAACAGAGAGGCCAGTACCACCGTCAGATAATTTCCCATCGATGTAGACTTTCCAGACGCCATTGGCACTTGTCCAAGTGATTGCAATATGATGCCATCTGCCATCATTCACTGAGGGACAATTTGTTATCTTTTCCTTGCCATTCACATAAAGAACCCAGCTGTGGAGAGAAAGGTTCCAGGGAATGTAGTCATTAGCCATATGTTGCAATCCTTACTGTGGGGCATGTTACTATTTTTCCTCTTTTCCTTTTCTTTGTGGGTAAAGTACTTTGTGTAAACCCATTACTCTTTTTTTTTCTCCACTTGGTCACATTTTGTAAAAGCAGATTTGATTTACTAATTATACTTGATTGCAGCTCACTGAAAATTGGTTTGTGTTCTTAAACACTGAGGGGTAGGAAAAAGTCTTAGGATGAGCCAGGAGAAGTTGCTCCAATTTGAGACAGTTTACCAACTGGCTGTTTCGGAGAGAATGAATCAAGAATGGAAAGGGTGAGAATTGTGTAAAATGCCAGACTGACATCCTTCTTCCAGAATGTAAGTTTCTTAAGACCAAGAACAAATTTCAGATGTTTCGTAGATGCTTCATCAAACAAACAATAAGTCTGTTTGATGGTTGCTGCTATGGTATGAATATTTGTATGCTGTCTTGTGTGCTCTCAAAATTTATGTATTGAAATGTAATCACCAATGTGATTAGGAGATGGAGTCTTTGGGAAGTGATTAGGTCATGAAGGCTCTGACGAGACCACTTGCACCTTCACCATGTGAAGACATAGTAAGAAGGTGCCATCTGTGGACAGGAAAGTAGGGCCTCCCCAGACACTAACTATGCTGGCACCTTGATCTTGAAGCCTCCAGAACTGTGAGAAATACATTTCTGTTCTTTACAAGCCACCAAGTCTATGCTATTTATTGTAGCAGCCTGAATGGACTAAGACAGTTGCTCATGCAGTCATATGTCAGACAAAGTATGCCAATCCAAAGAAAAGAATATTTGAAACAACAAGGATGGCCAGCCAGAAGATGTTTCCAACAACTGTGTCATTCAGGGAAATAACAAAGCTAATAAGCAGTTTAAAGTGAAAAATCTTCAAAATCAAATGGAGAAAAAGAAACGATTAGAGAAAGTTGATGATGAAGATAAAAATTCATTGACTACTTCTCCCAGCATCTTATCAGATCTTGTTTACAGATGTTTATGAAAAAATATTTTTTGCGATATTAATGGTTTCCTTTCTGCATTTTTCCAGTTTCTCTCCTTATTCAAGGAGGCAACAGGTTCTCTCTTTATATATATTTTGTTTCAAAGGAGGGTTTTTGCAAACTTCTTGGATTTTTGTTTTTTAACAGATCTAGTAAATTAAGAAGAATAGTATTTGAGGATGGGAGGTTTCTACTAGAATAGTGAGATTCCCCTGGATTGGGGATAGAAAAAAAAGCTCAGTGGGTTTTGAACACCAACAACCTGCTCATAAGTAGAATTTCGGCGGATCTGAGAGGAAAAGACCATGTGGTGCACCACAGAATCTAACCACATTGAAGTTATGAACCTAAAGTTTTGCCAAGGATTTCATATGTTTAAAAAGCAGTGGTTTTAAAGGGACCATAAAGCCTGGGTCAGTGGACAGCTCAGTGATAAATAATGTGGACAGTTGACCAGTGATGGAAGTTCTGCTTAAGTCTGTGACTCTTTGGCAAGACTCTGCGTACAACTAAGGTTGGCTCTCCTGACAACCCAGGGGGATAGGGCCCTGAAGTTGGAATTAATGGATTCTAAAAAAATATGCACCCTGAGTTTGTATACTGATTTGTATGCAATACACTTGTCTCCCAAGGGTCAATGATGTCACTGATATCCCTTAACTTTTAGAGGTCCTATTATATAAAAGAAAGAGCATCAGTATTTGAGTCAGAGTTTGAGACTTAGCCCTGCTACTTCCAAGGTGTGAGATTTGGGGCAAGTCATTTAGACTTTCTGAAACTTTATTCTACTGTCTGTAAAATGGGCACAGTTTCTCAGATCATTGTGAATATTAGAAGAAGTAATACATATGAAAACACTTAGTAAACAGCAAAACACAATGCATGTTTGAGGTATTATCACTAAACTTTTACCTTCTTACAGAACTTGTTCAGATGTTCCATTTGATTATTGATACCCTGCTGTTTTCTGGGAACAACTGACCCTCTACTTTCCCATTTCCGATCCTCAATGTCAGTTCTAATTTGGCTCCAAGATAAGGTCTTAAGCACAGCCTTCCCGACACTTCCGCTTACCCATTATAATCAGTCAGGAGCAAAGTATTGTCGCTGCCATTATCAACTGCATAGGAGATTGGTGTTCCATAGTTCATGTCATCAGAGGATTTCATCCAGAAGGTACAGGTTAGAGCATGGAGAGATGGGAGCACACCATCTAGCATGACGTATCCATAGATGCCAGAAACTTCAAAATCCAGGTTAAAGCCTGTAGACTGTTCTGTAACGAATAAGAAAAGTGTGCAGACGGTGGCACTTGGAAGACATTTCCAATTGTCAAAGGAAGCAGTGCTATTGTCAAAGAAGCTCATTTCAGTGAATATGATTATTTACCTAAGAAGCAGTTTCAAAATTAAATAAATATTATTTACAAAATACATAGTGCATTCTTTTAAATAAAATAACCAGTGAGTATACAAGATAGGAAAAGCATTCAATAGTGAAAGGAAGCAGAGAAACAGGAAGTAGTTGGAAGGAGAGGTGGACCTGAAATGCTACTAAAGCCAGGAGATACTAAAGCATGTCTGTATGCTAATGAGAATGACTCAGTAGAGAGGAAGTAATTGATGTCACAGGAGAGAAGGAGGAGGATCTGCAAGGGTAACATGCTACCCTATTTAGAACTCTGGCTTTTCCCTATTTCATGAGCAATTCAGCTCTGCCCCAAACCTGCATAGCCCACTCAATAAAACAAGTCTTACAGCTGAAAGACTCCAGTCTCCTGAGAAAGTATTTAGATTTGATCTGCTGATTCTCAAACATGTTCGTGGATTCTCACCTCTGAAGTCAAGTGGCTTATCAAAGTATCCTTTTTATTATAAATAAGTAGAACGTGAAGAGCTCTACTAAATTCAATTTTCTCTATTTCCCCCCTAAATTTTTAAGCTTTAATTTTATCATCTGTGCCACTGAGGATAATAGTAGCAGTACCTAGTTTGTTGGATGGCTGTGAAGATTAAATGAGTACAAAGTGTTTGGCATAGTTTTTGGCCTATGGGCAGTGCTTGGTGCAGGCAAAATTGGTATTGTTATTACAGTACTATTTTTAGTATTGTTATTAATAACACTGAGTTGATATATACCTGTTTCACACCTGTTGCCTGAAAATCCTGGTTGACATTTACAACTGTATGAATTTAATTCATCCACACAGGTGGCCTGATTTCTACATGGGTTAGACTGACATTCATTGATGTTCAATTCACAGTGTGAACCTGTGAAGCCGGCTGCACATAGGCATCTGAAAACAAAATGTTGTAACAATTAGAACAGTTGTAGGAAGTCTCCCATTTATGACAATGTTATCCGAAAAGACTTTGAAAATCAAAATGCTGGAACATATTTTCAACATCAAAATGCTTTAACTGTAGATTACTTTTTCCAGTTCACCTGATTAAACCTATATAAGATAAGATGTATTAGAAATGTTGTAGTAGCAAAAATAAAGTAGAAAGTAGTTCTGGTCCAGGTGAAATATAATTCACACATTGTGGTTTCTCTCCTCATAGGAGTTCTCAGAAAAATATGAAAAGTTCAGATGCTGTTCTAAAGGCTTTTATATGTTAAGCCAATTTTCATAACAATGAGGCAATACTAGTATTATTCCCATTTTACAGATGAGCTAAACTGTGGCTCAGAGAGGCTAAAGAATTTGCCCAAGTTCTATTGCTACCAAGTGGTGGAGTGGGATTTTGGATCAACCTATATCCTTTTTCTTAATCAGGATGCTATACAGTTTCTGTTCTATGCAACAAACCATTTTAAACTCATCAGAATGGAAAGTATATCTGGTAATGTCAAATGTTGACAGGAGTGTCATAAAATCGGAAGTCCCATATAGTGAGTAGGACTACAATTTGGCAATGTCCTGAGAAGTTGAGAGTTTGTGTTCCCAGAGCCCTATAAATCCATGTCTTGTTTTCTGCTCTAGGAGATAATTCCACAAGGTGCACAGGGACCCATATAACAAATGTTCATAGCAGCATCATTCTTTTTTATTTTATTTTATTTTATTTTTTATTATTATTATACTTTAAGTTCTAGGGTACATGTGCATAACGTGCAGGTTTGAACTATCACAAGAACAGAAAAACATAGCAGCATCATTCTAAATGTCTATGGAGAGGAGACTGAGAAAATGAATCATAGCGTAATTAAGTCCATCATGTAATGGAATACTAAGGAGCAATTGAAATGAACAAACCAGAGCCAAATGTAACCACCTTGATAATACTTGAAAATATGCTGAGTGGAAAAAAAAATTGCAAAAAGAATATGTATGTTATGATGCCACTTATGTAATACGTAAGTTATATACTGTTTATAGAAGTCATATATGTAGCAAAATATAAAACCCGAATAAGAAAGATATATTCAGACTTCAGGACAGTGATTACTGCTGGGGGAAGAAGGTGAATATGTGTGTGTGTACGTGCACGCATGTGTATGCGTGTGTGTGTTGAAGGGAAGCCAGCCCTACCTTTAGAACTTATGTCTTTAAAACAAAAGATGTGAATCAAATATGGCAAAATACTAAGGTTTGATAATCACAGTGATCAGTACATGACTTTTATTGTTATTTGTAATTTTCCGTGTGACTGAAATAGTTTGTAATTTAAAAGGACTGGTCCAATAAATGCGAGTTAATGTTATCATTACTAGCATGTTTGTATGAAGACCTCTTTGATACTGACCTAACAGTGACTAGCAGGAATAACTGGTGGTTGGCGGATTTAAGCAAAACTCTCAGTTGGAATTGGGAGATCTTTATTGGGTCTCTGCATTTGATGGTAAATCTATTTTGACTATAATTTCACTCACCTTTGTCCTCCTGTGTTTGGTGTCATTACAACACTATCATATCCTCATCTATGAAATAGATTCACTTTGTCAACAACCTACATTCCTTCTGAATTGGGAGCATGTACCTTCACCTTTCTTCTAGTTAGGATTTGGACAACTTTGGTATTCATCAATTGTTTTAAACCCAGGAAAGAGTTTGGAACTCTTGTCGTTCATCTGGAAACTTCCCATTGCCTACAGTTAGGTATATGCCAGAAAATGTCAAACACCCATAAGAAAGCAGTGCTACATGATAAGACCTCATTTCCATATTGAAGGTGAGGACATTGTGGGAGGATGGTAATGGCAGGGGGCTGAACTAGAAGGAAGGGGATTGGGAAATGTTGCAATTGGGCTAGACCTCTTTTGTTCTTTTTTGGTTTTTACTTTTGTAAACTTATAAAACCAGCAGCACCTGGAGGACAATACAGTTTTCTAAAATTTTGCAAGGAAGAGAAATCTGTCTTGTGTACTACAGATGTGCTGTCTCTGTACTCCCCTGCAAAGAGTGGAGGATGGAACAGGATAGTCTTGATAATGACGACAGGAGAGGGTTGTTTTTCAAACTGTATTCTACTGACACTTAAGAGCTGCCTCAGGGAGACATAGTCGTTCTCCCCCTCAAACACTACTATTTTCAGCCACAAAAGCTTAGCTTTTATTATTTTACTTTTTTACATTCATGTTAGATTTCTTTTAACAAAAGGTTACTAAAAAAGCTTCAAAATTGTGGACATAGAATATAGATGAGCACTATCACAATATGACTGCAGATTCCATTTTGATTTTATCTGGTATAAAATCTTCAGCTAAAGCACGGGTGGATCACCTGAGGTCAGGAGTTCGAGACCAGCCTGGCCAACATGGTGAAACCCCATTTCTGCTAAAAATACAAAAGTTAGCCAGGCCTGGTGGCAGGCACCTGTAATCCCAGCTACTTGGGAGGTTGAGGCAGGAGAATCGCTTGAACCCGGGAGAAGGAGGTTACAGTGAGCCGAGATCCCGCCATTGCACTCCAGTCTGGGCAACAAGAGCAAAACTTCGTCTCAAAAATATAAAAATAAATAAATAAATAAAATATGGGCTTTGTCTAGTGCTACTGTGTTTGCTTCTGAGTAATTATATTTCCTTTCATCTTTTATGACTTCCCCAGTATAGAACGTTAGTTCCCAAAAGTGGCTGTGCATCAGAATCATCGGGAAACTTAAGCCATAACAGGTTGCCTATTTTAAAATGGTAGGCTCTACTCCAGGCTTAGTGAAGCAGAAATGGCGGTGGGAATATTCAACTGTAGCCTATCCTTGGGCCAGCATTTGAAAATGGCTGACTTGAGACTCAAAGCAATACTCCATAAAGGCTGCAGAAACACTGACTAGTTTAAAAAAATTTAAAAAAAAGTGAAAAAAATCAGCCTTTACCTGAAGCTATTGGCACCGTCTTTACAGGTAGCTCCATTTTTGCATGGCCGACTGAGACACTCATCCACGTTCTTTCCACATCGGGTACCCAAAAATCCAGGTGGGCATTTGCACAAGAATCCCCCAACCTGGTCTTCACAGACTGCATTATTTAAGCATGGGTTTGACTGGCATTCATTGACTTCTGTTTCACAATGCAGGCCTGAGGATGGAGAAGGAAGAGAAACAACCCAAATGATTAATTCCCTGGGAACACTGTAATTAAAGTGTTGACTCCCTGGAGGATGCTGCTTCTAGAGGCTTGGAATGGAGGCTGTGGAGCCACTGGCCCATCAAACTGGTTTGAGATCCATTCTGTAATGGGCTCTGGCTTTTGCAAGTCATTTTTTTGTGGACTCTGAGTTTTTTTTTTTTTTTTCCTTTTTTTTTCCTGAGACAGAGTCTCGCTCTGTCTCCCAGGCTGGAGTACAGTGGCGCAATCTCGGCTCACTGCAAACTTCACCTCCTGCGTTCAAGCGATTTTCCTGCCTCAGTCTCCTGAGTAACTGGGACTACAGGCACCCATCACCACACCTGGCTAATTTTTGTATTTTTTTAGTAGAGACAGGGTTTCACCATTTTGGCCAAGATGGTCTTGAAATCCTGAGCTCAAGTAATCCACCTGCCTCGGCCTCCCAAAATGCTGGGATTACAGGCGTGAACCACCATGCCCAGCCAATAATCTGCTTTTTTAAATCTTATTTTTTTTTGAAATTAAGTTTGGTAATAGACATCTAATTGAGATAATGTTAAGAAATAAAGCTAGTAAATTCCATTCAAAACTTGCCTGTTTCTTTGATCTTGCCATTTTCCTTTACTGGCCACTTTCTTTCTTGGATTTACCCTTTAGCAATTAAGCATATACTTTTAAACCATATTATTGTGCATCTGTCTGCAATATGATATTACATGATATGTCTCCAGTTCCTTCTTGAAAGTTTGCCTTAACACACACACACCCCACATACACAAATTATTTTTTGCTGAACCATTTGAGAGTAAATTGCAGACCTGCATGCCCTTTCACCCCAAACATCTCAGCATATATTTCCTCAAAAAATGTAGACTTTCTCTTACATAATCACCATGCAGTCATAAAATCCAAAAATTCACATTAATATATATCATGTTAAGAAATGTACTAATTTGTGGTGGTTTACAAGATTTTAAGACAACTTGGGAAGACTGGAAACATCTTACCTACATATCCTTTCACACATGTGCAACGATAGCCAGCCACACCATCAACACAGATTCCTTTATTTAAACAAGGACTGGAGCTACACTCATTTATATTTTCTTCACACCGCAGACCTGCAAAGAATTATTAATCTTTGAACTACAGAAAACTTGAAAGGACTTTAAGACCAATAGTTTCCAAGCAAGTTGTTCAGGCATTGGAATAGGGAAATTGGAAGTCATGGCTAACATGTTTGTGACAAATTTAACTCTTTGCCAAACATGTTGAAATAAAATGTTTCTTCTATTCTGTGAACTGCAAATTTTTTCTAGCAAGAATCCTAACATATTCAGCATGCAATGGAAAATGATAACTATGAATATCTGGCCATATTTTTTTAGTTAAAAAGATGTGTGATTTTGTTTTAAAATTAGCTTCCTTATTTGTTTGCAAGTTGTTCTCTTTTTGAGTTTATTCCTTTTAGAGTTAAGTGGTAACAGTTACAGCGTTACAGTTACAAAGTTGGCAAAAATTATGGGAGAAGTCTATTGAATGAACAAAATAACTCATTTTCTTCTGCAAATTAGGGAAACACAGCCAAATTTCTGTGCAGCTGTCCCATGTTTTGTGTGAACGTAATTTGAGAACAACTGATGTAATTCATATCCTTTATTTTACACATCTAGAATTAGATCCAAAGAGGTCTGTGACATCGCCAAGGACAGGCACAGAAATGAGCCTAGAACCATAAATCTTCACATTCAAGAACATACGTACAAAGATTCCTTGGGTTGAAGAGTTCAGGATGCTTAAATTTATACCTCATGGAATTATGTAACACATATCTAATAATTTATGCACCTTGACATTAAAATATGCTAAAAGGAAATTTCACAGTGAAAGTTGTTTTTATGAGAATAGTAAATCTAACATAAAATCTACACTTTCATATGGACCATAATGAACACTTTTTTTCACAGTAAATCCACACAATAAATGTAATGTCTAATAAATAATATACATAATGCATTTCACATCTAGTAAATATATATTTATTTAGAAACTTGGTTCTACTTTTCTCATAGTATGTGTCTACCATTCTGGTCACAAGTTTTTACTATGATTCAACTCCAGGTGTCACTAACATGAGATTTGGAATTTTAAATAAAGAAATGTAGGATACAGGTGCATAATTTTAATACGGTCTATGGAAATGCAACCATAGGCAGACAGTGGAGAGGAAAGAGCATGAGAAAGAAAATGGGAACCAGGCCAGCAATCTGGATGTGGTTCCAGCTGTTGAATACACACCCTTGGTTAGGGGTGATGAGTTTGCTGGTCTGCAGTTGGTCTCACATCATGTGGGCTTCTTAGAGTATAAGCTGAGAGCAATTTGTTTCAAGATACATGTGATGTGGCCCCTAAACATAGGCCTGGGACAACCAGTGTTGCATGGATTTGAGATACAGAAAATATGAGTTGTTCCAAATGATTACTACTGTAAATTATGTTAAACATTTTCATGTCTCTATGGAAATTGTTTTTAGATACACATAAAGTTATGGTTCCTCTGAAATGTTATCAGGATTTTACTAAACTTTTTAAGATATAGAAAATTATATACCCACATGTATTAAAATATATATTCAGATATCTTTTTAGTATAATAATGATTTTATGAGTTAGGTACAATGCTGGATGATTTATTTGACCTCAGTACTCTCTATAATAATATTATGGGGTCATTGCTATTTATAAAGTAGTAAATCCTAGTCTATTTTATTAGAATATATCATCAGTATTATAATAATTATAGTGTGGGTTAACAAGGGAATTGAGAATAAGATCACTGTTTCTAAACTATTTTTGTGAGAAGGTGCTGAAAACTGCGACTCTTGACTTAAGATATACACTTACAGAAATCTCCAAACTGCTTTCCACAGTGGCTGAACTAATTGACATTCCTAAAAAAGTGTATAAGCATGCTGTGTTTTTCTATAACGTTGCCAGCATGTGTTATTTTTTGACTCTTTAATAATAGCCATTCTGGCCGAAGGCAGTGACTCAGGCCTGTAATCCCAGCACTTTGGGAGGCTGGGGCAGGTGGATTACCGGAGGTCAGGAGTTTGAGACCAGCCTGACCAATATGGTGAAACCCCGTCTCTACTAAAAATACAAAAAATTAGCCGGGCACGGTAGCATGCGCCTGTAGTCTCAGCTACTTGGGAGGCTGAGACAGGAGAATTGTTTGAATCTGGGAGACAGAGGTGGTAGTGAGCTGAGCTCAGGCCACTGCACTCCAGCCTGGGCGACAGAGTGAGACTCCATCTCAAAAAATACAAAAATTAAAAAAAAAAAGCCATTCTGACTGGTGTGAGATGGTATCTCATTGTCGTTTTGATTGGCCTTTTCTGATGATTAGTGATGATGAGGTTTCTTTCGTGTTTGTTGGTTGCTATTGTCTTCTTAGAGAAGTGTCTGTTTGTGTCCTTTGCCCACTATTTAATGAGGTTATTTGTGTTTTGCTTGTTGATTTGTTTAACCTCCTTATAGATTCTGAGTACTAGGCCTTTGTCAGATGCATAGTTTTCAGGTATTTTCTCCCATTTTGTAGGTTGCCTGTTTACTCCATTGATGCTTTCTTTTGCAGTGCAGAAGCTCTTCAATTTAATTAGGTCCGACTTGTTAATTTTTGTTTTTGTTGCAATTGCTTTTGGGAACTCAGCCATAAATCCTTTGCCAAGGCCGATGTCAAGAAGGGTATTTCCTGAGTTTTCTTATAGGATTTTTATAGTTTGAAGTTTTACATTTAAATCTTTAATGCATCTCAACTTAATTTTTGTATATGGTAAAAGATTGGGGTCCAGCTTCATTCTTCTGCATATGGTTGGCCAGTAATCCCAGCAATCCCATTACTGGGTATACATCCAAAGAAAAATAAATCATTCTACCAAAAAGACACACGCACTTGTGTGTTCATCCCAGCGCTATTTACAATAGCAAAGACATGGAATACACCTACATGCCCATCAATGGTGGATTAAAGAAAATGTGGTACTTATAGATCATGGAATATTATGCAGTCATAAAAACTCCACAAAATCATGTCCTTTGCAGCAACATGGATGCAGCTGCAGGCCATTATTCTAAGTGGATTAAAGCAGGAACAGAAAGCCAAATACTGCATGTTCTCACTTAAACATTGAGTATGCATGGAATAAAAATAGGAACAATAGATGCTAGGTACTATTAGAGAGAAGAAAGGCGGTGTGGGCTGAAAAGCTACCTAATTAGGTATTATTCTCACTACCTGGGTGACGGAATTATCTGTCCTCCAAACCTCAGCATCTTGCAATATATCCGTGTAACAAAACTGCACTTGTACTCTCTGAAGTAATAAAAGTTGAAATTATTTAAGTCATAAATAAAAAGATTTTGAATGCTAAAAAATAACACTTAAATATGTATTTATTTAAGTTAAAAGGAGAGGCATAGTGGTCCATAACAATTTCAAGGATACATGTGCCTAAAGTCCACAGTTAGTAATAATTATACACACACATATTCATACACACACACACACACGAAAATCCACAGAAGATATATATACACTTATATATATATATATATATTCACACACACACATATATATACACACACACACACTTCATAAATTCAGTAAAATATTAGTAAAAAGCTTGGGGAGGACCTTGTATTTGTAGTAGGCTTTACATATTTTCTGTCATTTCCTCAGAAATTTCCTCAGAATTATTGGCCAACTATATGCAAAAGAATGAAACTGGACCCCAACCTTTTACCATATACAAAAATTAATTTGAGATGCATTAAAGATTTAAATGTAAAACTTCAAACTGTAAAAATTCTGTAAGAAAACCCAGGAAGTGGGTCATTTCTGTCATTTCCTCACCTCTATTTTTAAAAATGAAGAAACAGGTTCAGTGAAGTTAAATGTCTTGTCCAAGGTCACACATCTAGCTGGCAAAGATGGGAACACGCCTGCCTGTTTTATAAAGCAATTACATACTGCCATATTGATATCTTGTTCTCCTTACATAACAGAATAAGGACAAGAACACATTCCCAATGCATATAAGTAATATTAGAAAATTCGCTTCTTCAATATGTTTATAATATCCTATAACTGTATCTTTGACACATTCCAAATTTATCTTGGTGATGACATCTTAATGATTCAAAGTTTCATATTGTTAAAAACAAGAAACCTTCCCCTTACCTGTGTAACCTGATGGGCACTCACAAATGAATTCCCCAACTAGGTCTTTACAAACTCCATTGTTGAGGCAAGGCAGTGGGCTGCACTCATCGATGTCTGTTTCACACTTTAAGCCTACAATGTAAACCACATACTGAGGGACAATCCAAGGATGGGATTAACTGAAACAGAACTATGATCATTTAAAGGTAATTATCTCAATAATCAGAATTTTTAAGTGGGTAGTGGTAAAGAAAAGGGCAATATTCATTAAGTGCTACCATCTATTAAGCATTTAATGAAGGTACTACCTCTTTCTAAGCAAACAAATTTAAGATTTTCTTATTTTTTTATTTTATTTTATTTTATTTTTTAAGGAGTCTCTCTCTATTGCCCAGGCTGGAGTGCAGTGGCGTGATCTCGGCTCACTGTAAGCTCTGCCTCCCGGGTTCACGCCATTCTCCAGCCTCAGCCTCTGGAGTTGCTGGGACTACACGCGCCCGCCACTGTGCCCGGCTAATTTTGTTTTTGTATTTTTAGTAGAGATGGGGTTTCACCGTGTTAGCCAGGATGGTCTCGATCTCCTGACCTCATGATCCACCCACCTCGGCCTCCCAAAATGCTGGGATTACAGGCGTGAGCCATCGTTCTGGGCCAAGATACTCTTATAAAGATACATAGAAGATAGCAAAAGATCCCAAATTGGAAGTGGGTTGGGGGCACTTGGAAGCATAAAATGGAGCCAGGAATTATGCTAATTTCAAAGTGAAAGCTACAATATCATCTGTACTTGCTACCAAGGTCACCTGGCTGAGGGGTGGAGGTGGGGCTAAAGCCTGCCAGATCGCAGCTCACATGCCAGGTGTCCCAGAGTGGCTGCATCTTCCCACAGGGAGCACATGGGCTTTCTACGGGCTAGCTGTGCTGGAAACCCATTTTCTTTCTCAGGGGCCTCCTCACTAGCATCAGTATTACCTGGGAACGCAATAAAAATACAAATTCTCAGGCTGTACTCCAGACCTACTGAATCAGAAATTCTGGGGCTGGGGTCCAGCAATCTGTGTTTTTAACAAGCCTTCCAGATGATTCTGACGCACATGACTATTTGAGAACCACTGTTCTATATTATGCCCTCTCTCAACCACCACTCATTTACAGAATTCCCAAACAAGATCCTTTATTTCTTATGGAACATCAAGGTAAATATTTTTATAAAAATTCACAAAGACACACACGCACACAACACGAGCCAGCTATACTGGAATGCCAATATTCTAGATAGATCTCGACTATACTTTGTTTTTTGACTTGCCTTTTGCTTATCTTGTGGTGAATTCCTTTACTTAAACACTATTTCTCATTAAAAACTTTCAAGTTGGTTGTATAACATTGAAAAAAAAAACTGTCTACGATAAAATGATTATTTTAAAGTAATTGCAATTTTAAGGTATATTTCATTTCTCCTCAAAAATTATGTTTCTGGACTCAAGTCGAATGTGAACCAAACTGTTAAAAACCCCCATAATTCTTACATAATTCCTACATAATAAAGTCCAAAGCCAAATTGTTTTTCTAAGCACAGCTTCCAGAAAGCTAGAAACAAAGCAACAAATCATAGCTATTCACAAGAACTTCTATTAGTGTGTAGCATATGAGAGAAACTGCCAGTTCATTTAAAAATGTTTATACTGGACAATCTGTTCTATGTGGAGTATCATGCATATAATTTTTGACAGAATGAAACTTTGAACATGACCCCTGGAATTGTATTTCAATTTAAATTGTAGGTTATGATAACGACTCATAGGGAAGATGAGTCTTTATCCAAAATGGGCAAAGAAAACTGTCATTTGTGAAGTATGTATAATTTTTTCACCTATTATCTTGTTCAACAAATTTTGGCACATTTACACAGTCTAATGTATCTTACCAGATACATTTAATATACTAAAGTTTGATACTGCAAGTCATAATGATTTCATATAAAAATATTAAAATCTACATTCCTCTCTGTTATTTACCTGTATATCCAAGTGGACAGAGACAAACATAACCACGCCCAAGTTGTTGGCAGGTTCCACTATTGTGGCAAGGGTTTAAGAAGCATTCATGGAAAACCTACCAGTAGCATAAAAAAAATCAATCAGAGACAAAGCACTCTATGTATTTCAAAGCAGTCCTGATTAGAGTCAGAAGATTTGCAACATTAGACAGCTCGTTCCTGTTTCCAGGTAAGTTCATTCAAGCTAGCTGGGCTGCTGCCTGAATAACACTGGTGCCTGCCATATAGGGGAGCAAATGATATATATCATTCTTGGGTGATGTTCTGGTAAACCTAAGGAGCATATCTAAATGCTGGCTGCATGCTAGAATACAACTGATATTTTAAAAGTATACTAAGGTCAGGGCCTCAACTCCGATCAGCTAAATCAGGATCTCTGAGAGTGAAGTCTGTACATTACTGTCTTAAAAACTTGGCCAGGATTCTGTTATGCCTCCATGTGACAGCCACTGCTTTAGGAGATCCTACAAACTCCTATGTCCACTAGGCTCAGTTTGAAATATGACTTATAAAGTCCTAACAAGTCATTATGTTTGGACTGGGCTGTAGGAAGTTGAAATCAGAACTATATCCCCATTATCCATGAAAATACTAAAAGGCAAGGAATTCATGACATTGGGCAAGGTGAATTCGGAGTAATGACTGAATCTATTAAAGTAATCAAGACTTAACAACTAGTCTTTTAAAAAAATACAGCATTTGGTTTAGCTATGTTAATTTATGTTTCTTAATTTTTAAGAATTCATACCTTTTCCCAAGAAATCTTTTTTTTTTCCCCCCGCTGGTGAAGAAATTTAAATAATTTTCATGAAAGTTGGGTAAGTCTTCCTGCCAATTAGAAAAGCCCTTTCGTTAAACCAAATTCCCTTACTCAAATGATGGGTTGTGCTTGTGGTAAGTGTTTATAGTGAATCAAAAGGCTCCCCGTATCTACTCATTCTTATTGCCAGGCATTTCTGGGAAAAACTCTCATTTTTGGTACTTAGAACATCTAATGTTGCATTTTGGGAATGTTCTAAATAGGAGTCATTGTAAATACAATTATTCATTTATAAAATTCATAGATCTTGATTACCTAAAATTTCAATCCTGGTTCTTTTCCTGTGTGTGACATGTAAAACGACAAATTGCTTTCCAAGCATTCCACTAGAGAAAATTTTATGGAAAATGAACTTGCCTGACTGCTGATTTCATGTCTCTTTTTAATATGTCCAAGAGAGGCAGGGGGAACCACACTTTCCTCTGCTGCTGAGAAAGTTGAACTGAAACCTAATCAATTAATAGAAAAACATGTCAGTGTGGTACATATGGCAGTAAGTGGACTACATCTAACACTATAGTCAAGATTCTGGTTGTTAGAGTCGGTAAAGCCACATACATTTTGTTTGACTTATATTTTAAAAAAGGAAAACAGAGATGGATGGCATACATCATTACATCCTAGCCTCTTAGAAAGAAATTTAGAAATTATCAAGTTCAGTGTTTCCAAAACAAGACTCTTTGTGCCATAGTCATCAAAAATACCTCAGAAGGACAATTTAACAAGTCCAGACGCCCAAATTCACTGAAAATAGTAATATTCAGAACTGAAGCTACAACAGAGACAGGGAAAAGTAAGAGTCCAACATAGGATTCCATAAGAAGTTTACTTATAAACATTCATTCCATAATGAAGTTTACTTACTTGAACATTCTGTGATGGATCTGGAACCAGCAAACGGGGTAGTTCCATAAAAGGGACAGGCCAGGCAGAAGGCCTTCCCTGCATCAGGTTGGTAATAGTCGCGAGGACATGGATGACAGGGCATTAACCCAGAACGTGAGAATTTTCCTTCTGGACAAGGAACTGCGGAGGTAAAAACAAATCGTATGTGCATATAAAGTAACACACTCTACCTTTGAAAGAAGTGATTTAATCTTTGCATATAAGAAACCTACTCAATTACCTATATAATCTCTTCCATATATTTAATACCCTTATCATCTTATCACCCAGGTAAATGTTTTGGTGGGTTTCCTTCCTGTCTTTAATCACACACGTTAATTTAATGAGGTTTAGAATTGGCCATATTATTCTGATTTTTCCACCTAAAACAATATCGTGTTTCCCAAATCATTCCCTCAGATCATTATATAGATTTTAATAAAAGAAAATAATGTTGCATCTCATTGACAGACCATGATTGATCTAACGTTTTTTCTACTATTGGATATTTAGATTGTTTTCATTTGTTTGCCATTATAAATAATGATGAAGTAAATTTTTTACATAATCTTTGTATTTAGCTCTGATTATTTCCTTGGGATAACAGTTGACTTTGAGTGGTTGAATTAGAATAATTGGATTTGAGTAGTTGAATAGTTAAGTCTAAAGATTTGAAAAGAATAAAGCCATTGATATATAGTGCCAAATCATTAAATAAGTAGTTCCAATTTATACTCCCATTAGTAGTGTATGAAATCACTCTTTTCACTGCATGCTCTTCAGCACTGGCATTATTAATTTTTTTCCAATTTGGGATGAAAATGGAATTATAGTTATTTTAATTTGCATTTTGATGATAAATGAAGTTGCTTTCTTCTACTTATTAGAAATTTTATTTCTCCTGAATAGTCTATTATTTATGGAGGATTTTTAATGTTTCTATATATTAAGAATATGAATCCTTTGACATACTTAGACTAATTATTTTTGCCAGTTTGTGTTTTGCCTGTTAATTTTGTTTAACTGCTTTCATGAGCAAGTAATTATTACTCCTCCTTATTTAATACTAAAATAATGTAAGGTAATATATTTACCTATGCAAGTAGCTTTAGCTAAATCGGTAGTTTTATCATTAGTATTTTTGTTTGCTATTTTCTAAGTAATAAGAATTGTAATTTGATTTTTTGACACAATTATTTTCAGAAAGATGGCTTAAAATGTATAAATATTTGAAATTTGTATATGAGTTTTTATTAATTTGTTTTTAATCATCTTATGGTCAGAGAATTTATATTGCATAACTGCTACCTTTTGAATTTTGAGATTTTTTTGTTCACTATAATTAAAAATAATACTTCATTGAAAGTGTTATCACCATAGAGTAAATAGTATAATGCGTATTATTAGTTCAGCCTTATCAATCATGTACTATAAGTTCTCTGTGTCTTTACTGATTGCCTACTTGATCTTTATAAATTCAAGGGAGTGGAGGGGCATGGTGGCTCAGGCCTGTAATCCCAGCACCTTGGGAAGCTGAGGTGGGCAAATCACTAGAGGTCAGGAGTTCCAGACCAGCCTGGCCAACATGGCGAAACACCATCTCTACTAAAAGTACAAAAATTAGCCAGTGTGGTGGCAGGCACCTGTAATCCCAGCTACTCAGGAGGCTAAGGCAGGAGAATTGCTTGAACCCAGGAGGCAGAGGTTGCAGTGAGATGAGATGGCACCACTGCACTCCAGCCTGAGCAACGGAGCAAGACTCCGTCTAAAAAAAAAAAAAAAAAAAAAAAAATTCAAGGACGGTATTAAAATCTTCCATGAAAATTTTATTTTTACAATTTATCATTGTGAGACATACAGATTTTGTTGTATTTTGCTGCTGTTATTTGATGACAAAGCTTTATTATGACTAACTTATACTGCTTGTGAATTTCGTAAAAATAACTGTTTTCCTCATGTGATGCTATTGGGCTTTGAATTGAACTTTTTCATAAACTCACTTTACCACCCCACTACTTGCTTGTTTTTTTGTATTCATTGGTCTGGAAATCTTATTTTTAACCTTTCACTGTCATTTGTGTTAAGCTTTTTGTAAAGAACATTCATTTGAGAATTGTCATTTAACCAAATCTGAAATTCTCTTGCCAAATAATGAGTGGAATATTAACCAAATTAAAAATGGCCTCAAACATAAAACAAATTTGGATTTTCTTCCATGATGTTTTGTTGCATTTGGCAGAGGGTAGGGGGACAGAGTACTCATGATTTAATTCTTTGGTTGGGGTTTTAGACAGCAACCCAAGTATGAATTCAGATTGGGTGTGCCCTTTCCTTGGATGAACTGGCATCATATGGGTAGATATGAAAGCCATTATAAACTAAGAAAACTATCAAAAATACTAAGACTTGTCTGCATAAATGTAAGTATGGAAGACAGAACACAAAAAGTAGCTGCTCAGGATGTCAGCATTCTTATCATTTAGGGTTTGGTGTCCTTACAATAAAAATAGTACAGCAGAGATAATTAGCAGTATGGTTGAAAAATTTAGAGATGGACTGAGGTTCAAGGGAGCAGGGTATGTCATGTCGTAGCATCTCTTTTTTACTGACTTGAGAAAAAAAACAAAGCATTTGTGATAATCTCAAGACATTTAGATCGGAAATTTAAAACAAAAATAGCCAGACAAATTTTTTGCTAAAGACTCTTTTATACAATTAACAAAAGAGCTCAATGAAGAGATGGTAATTCAATCAAGAGATGGCAGAAAATATCATAGATTTTAACGCAACTTTAGAAAAAAATATTTCTTGCAGGTTTGGTCTTTACATGCATAAAATTTACATTTTTAAACTATTTTTATTTCACTAAGAACAAGCTAATTTACTGTTTGATTGATCTCAGAGTGCTAGGTAGCGCTCTGTTATTCACACAAACTGTAAACTTGCTTAGTTTAAAATGGGTTTCCTCAATCTTCAGTTTCTAAAAGTGATTGCCTATTTGGAAAAGGTAAGTCACACACAGCTAATTAGTTAACTGAAAGCATCAATCTTCCGCTGGTAAAAGTACAAAATTTTGTTTGAGAGAGTATCTCTGAGTATGTATGTAATGCTGAAAAGATAAATTCCATCAGCAAAACTCAGGATGCTGTAATGAATTAAACCTTTTTTTACATATAATTTTCAACACAAAGATGCTCAAAAAGATGTTTATGCCCCTAGAAACTGACAGAAGGTAAAAAATTATACTAAGATGTAATAGTAATAAAATACTAACATTTCAAATAAATAAATCTATTAGCTTCTAAAAACACCTAACTCATCATTGTAATGTCTATACCTTTTAGCATAGAAAATACAAAATAAATTTGCATGTGCAATTAGTTTAAGTTATTGTCCAAGGGCAGATATTGTCATCAGAAATATATTTTCCTGCAGTGGTCAATGAGCATTTAATAGAGTATGTATATATGCAGTAAACATATATTCACACACACATATATATGTATAAACATACACATGTACATAATAGTGGCACTATCTAGTACGTAATACAGTACTAAACACATACGCATACACACACACATAAATACACAATTCCTAATGAACTGGTGTCATGAGAAAAGAGGGGTGAATGTTTCATTTTGATTCTTGGCCAAAGAAACTAGTCTCCCAGTCAAGAAAAATGGAACAAAACCCTCTTTTCACCTCCTCTATTGGAGAGAGAGAGAAAAAAATAATCTAAGTATACCAAAATGATATTAAAATCAAATCACAAACAGTGCATGGAAATGACCAGGAAAAAAATGTCATATCACTTGTGCTGCTCTCTGACAGTGTTAAGGGCAACACATACAGACCTAGAGCCAAGTGGATTTTGCCTTTTCAATGGGTTTTCTGACTACAATTAATAATACTATATTGTATACTAGAAATGTGCTAAGAGAATTTCAGCTTCTCTTACCACACACACACACACACAAAGAAGGGCAACTATGTGAGATGATGTATATGTGCATAAGAATATCATAACATCATTTTGTACACCTTAATTATAGATCATTTTAAATAAATAAATCAGTTTCCTAAGATGAGGTCAGAGGTCAATGACTTCCTGAGCCTCCTTTTAACTTCGTTCTGGAGAGTCAGGGTAAAAGGTGGTGTCACCCAGTCTAAACATCATCTTTTCTTCTCCTACAGCATCATATATTAACAACAACAACAACAACAAGTCACCTGTGGAATTCTTCAGATAAAAATTATTTTTAATGAATGAAAAATTTCAGACTCTTGAGTGTGTACCTATAAACACAAGAATATGTAATAACCTAAGAAGTTATAAAAAGCAAAATGTACAAATATATTACTTTAGCAAACTAATATACTTTGTGATACTTAAACATGATTGCTGTCTTGAATAATAATATTTTAAGTTCCACATGATAGAGAAATACAAAACCAATGTCTTGGCAAAAAATAAGGTAAATGGTACACTATAAAAATAAATCAATACTGAAAGATAGAAAATAAATCAATAACAAAAATAATAAATCAATACCAAAAGAGAAAATAAAGAAAAAGGAAGGAAAGAAAGAAAGGAAGAAAAAGGCAGAAAGGAAGGCAGATAAAAGAAAGAAAGAAGGAAAAGCAGGTGAAAGAAAAGCAGGTGAAAGGAAAAGAAAAAGGCAAAAAGAGAAAGGGAAAGAAGGAAAGAGAAAGGCAAAAGCAAGCAAACAAGAAAGAGAGAGAAAGGAGTTAAAAACTAAGAAAAAATATATATAAGGGACCGTTTTAGAACTTATACATATTTAAGCTTAAAATAAAATGTTTATCCAGCACCGCAGAAGAATGTTAACTTTTGTCATTTGTAATTCCCACTCATGAGAAGCAGAATGTGGTTAAACTTATGCTAGGAATATTAGGAGAGTAGGGCCAGAAATTTAGAGACTTTCTGGGAATTATAACGCCTTAATTATAATAATTTAGTATTACACAAACCTCAAGGTTTATTTAGAAAGCTAAGAGAAAAAAATTGTCAAATATGAACTTGATTCACTATAAAAATCCTAGTTGCTTTTGTGGTTGGAGGAAGTGGGCAGGGAGAGAGAATTTTTTACTGTGGACTTTCTGCCAAAATTAGTTCT